TTATTGCAGACATGTTTTCAAATCTTGTACCGGTTCAAGTACATCAAGCTACAGCATCTTTTGATGCTCGAAAGTCGGAAGTTATCAATGTAGAAACTGGGCGTCTCCGTGAACATACTCAAATAATGAATGGGTAAATTAATTCTGAGGTCCTTGCTTCAGTCTAAGCTCTTGGGAATGTAGAGAAAATGAGGGATGAAATCTAAGGGTTCCATATGATTTTGTGAAAGGCTGATACTATCCGTTGGAAGTTCAGTATTTTTGTTCGATCTCTAGTTGAATATGGTTTGTTATATGATTCATTATAGGATATTGGCATCTCTAAATTTGCCCGCCGCCTTGGATGACGTGACAAATCACGAAATATTGCCAGAATCCATTCGACAAAAATCTTCCAAAGTTAAGTCCTTGGGTGGGATTGATGCCCTTACAAGTCTCATTGCTGATTTGCCAAATATTCACAAAAGAAACAAGGAAATCTTGGATGAAGTAAATTTTTCAGATTACTTTTTTTTTCCTTACATCAGAAGGTCTGCACGCTACAACATTAATATTTATAGTGTATTTGTATTTTGTCTTAAAATAATGTTAGTCTTTATTAAGTAGCTGATAATTTTTGCATCAAAATTCAGTTTTTCTGTACACATTTCTCAAGGTTATATCATTCCTACTGAAATTTTGGCACTTTTACTCGTTTTGCTGTATTAATTAGTCAAATCAAATCAGTTAACAGTGAGTTTATAAGAATGCATAACGTCTATTTCTATTTACTTAGTTTCCTAGTGTGCGCCGGTTTTGCTAAATTACAAATCAGCTTCGATGTGTCTCTTATTCTTTATTTACTTTTATGTTTTTTAAAATTGTTCCTTCGATGTCGACATGTTCGAAGAAAATGAATTTTTTTAGACTTTGCGGCTATTAAATGAAGAAAAGGGAAATGACGATCGTTTGCGATCGCAGTTTAAAGATAAATGGACACGTATGGCTTCTGATCACCTTACGGCTCCACTTCACCAGGAATGTGGTAAATATCGCGGCATTCTTCATGCAGCTTCCAATGCGGATGAAACGGTTAAGCAAAAATTGGAAGAGAATAGAGAAGGAATCAAGTTGCTCAGTGCAACTGAACCTGAATTGAAATAAGTGCTTATGTTCTTTTTTTACTTCTTTTGGAATTCAACAGCGTTATAATCGAAACAATTGATTTGTTGCTGGTTCTATAGATATGAATTTGAATTAAAAGAAGCTTTTATAAGAATACATAGAATTTATAGGAATATGTATTGGCACTATGATCTGGTGATAACATATATTACCCGAAATATACAGTATGATTTTACAGCAGCAATACCATGTCTTGATTCTGCAAGTGCTAACAAGAATTCAGAAGCTGTGGTAAAACTCAGAAGTTTAATGGATGTTGTACAAGAAATTAAGGTAAAATCTGAACATGAATGGTCCTTATTACTTAATCCTGATAGAATTTAATATCTGAATTATCAAAGCGAAAAATCCTGTTCCATAACTTTCTCTTCCTTCGGTTCTTTGATCAACCGCACTGGTTACCTTTCTATAAATAGTAATACAATAGTGTCGCAATAAGACAAGTTGAAAACAGAAGTTCAGCTCCACTAACTGAGTTTTTCATTTATCGGCACCCACTGCTCAGGATGCTATTTACTTTATTCCTGCAGTTCTTCAGTTTCTTTCGAATAGATTTTTAGATTGGACGGGAGAAATTAGAAAAGGAATTCACAAATGTTCGCTGTGATATGAGTCCTATCTTTCTGAAAGCACTAACCGACAACCAAATCATCAATGAAGAAGAAATTTCTACTGCCAAAATTGCTGAAATATATGGCCCGTTAAAGACTAAAGTAAATGAAAGTATTAAGAAGCAAGAGGATTGTTTGGCACTAGTGGAGGTAGGCAGTCACTGGTATTCTTGATACCTTTCTATGTGTCATTACTTGTGTTAGGGCAGGTTTATCATGTCTTAGTGATATTTATTTGAACTTATCCATGATATGTTAATTAGTTTGCTTTTTTTTGTAGTATTCAATCCTTTTTTTTAGGTATGGAATAAGAAATTTGGTTCGGAAAAAGCATCTAGTCAAGGTGCTGTTGAGCGTGAACGAATTTTGAAGATATTGGCCAATGGGCATGATAAATTCTTAGAGATTAAGTCGAATTTAGATGAAGGAACAAAGGTAAGATATAATTAGCACTTGAGATTTGTTGTTATACATTGCCATTATTTACTGTTGCTCTGCTTCATTGTGCAAATATATATTAATTCTTCTTTCAGTTTTATAATGATTTAACACCTCTACTATTACGATTACAACAAAAAGTATCTGATTTTTGTTTCGCTCGGCAGACCGAAAAAGAAGATTTAATGAAACAATTACAACAAAACATTGTTTCCGGTTAGTATAAATAAAATATGAATGAGGAGTGTTAGATTAAGGACTGTAAGAAATCTACACTCCAAGAAATCAAAGAAAAATCATGGAGATAATAAGTGGTTTTTACTCAATTTGCCACTATTTATTTAAATGACAGTTAAGGTTCTTCATGTGGCAGTGCACCTCCTCGACCGCCACCACCAAAAACTTCATCAAATGCGTCCGTGTCGAACAATCCATTCGATGCAGAAGCACCAATTCCACCTCCACGCAATATTAATAACTTTCAGGGTACCAGTTCAAATTTGTTTTTCTTTTCAAATTATTCAGTCATCTTCATTCATGGTTAAAAATTTTGTGCACAGTATTAGCTCTGCATTTAAATTCCTCACTTCTGCTCTGGATAAAAATCTATGGCGATGAATCGGGGTGGTTATACTGACTTACTTGTTTAATTTTATGTCAAATATATCTCATTAGTAGTTATCGCAGTTCGTGATATTTTGGTCTTGATCTTATTTGTTTTGATTGTTTGAAAATAGTGGACCTGATTGTATTTACTCGCTACTGTAAGAAAGTGATACAATTTTGGACTAAAATTTATCGGTTTCGGTTGCACATAGCAAGAGAATTAGGAGCTATTTTCCATTCATAGAAACAGGAGGACATTATGATAAGGACGAGCATTATTTATAAAATAGAATTCGTTCAGTTCGGTTGTCTAAAGTTCTTATCTACAGACCATGACGCACCTCTCTTATTTTCATTTCTATAACTGAAATTTATAAGTGCAGCGATATATACCGGAATTTTTGCATTTGCATATTTTGTAGCAACACAGGCATCACCGATACCACCTCAAAATCCGAACTATCAGCCTCAGCTTTGCAATTCTCAGCAACAACAGCCGTTTGCATCTTATGGTAATGAAGTAAATTACGATTACGATAGAATTATTCAACTCGTTTGCATTAAGGAATTTCGGAAAACAACTTTTTTATTTTTTTGAGTTTCGCATTTTCTACAGAATGTAAGTTAAGGGACTAACTTGATGAATCGTTTCCTTTATGATAAATACATTCATTTTTAACCTCGCATACAATGACGTTGTTGTATTGCGGTAATTTTTCGTAAAAATCTCAATTCCTTGAACTGTGTTCGCTTAGTTTCAGCTCAAGCACCATATGGATATCCAGTTCAGCAGACACCTTATCTGCCGCAGCCCCAATTTAATCAAAATTACACAACACCATATCCAGTTGCATATCCAGGGACATACCCTGGAGCCTTCAATCCTCCTCTGCATGGTAATTTCAAATTTTAAATTCGTATATCTTGAAAAGCACGTTAGTTAGGAACAATGATGTGATGAGTACTTTACATACAGAAGAAACTTCCGATTAGTAAATGTTAAATAGGGCATCTTAATTTTATTTTCTGCCATATATTCGAAATCTTTTGTTTTTGGCGAAAGACTTCTTTAGAGTAATAACTGCTCATGTTTTGTTTTTTTATTCTGCATCAACAAATCCTTGCCAAATTAAAGAAGCCTTTCACCAAAGCATAAGATTTCCACGTATAATAAAAAATGGAATCTACACTTAGTTGAATACGTTTTGTAGCATATAGTCATTTTCCTTCGTCGACAATGTCGCCACAGTGGGGTAATGTGCCGTCATCAACGCCACAGTAGATCCACTTAAAAATTTGGCTAGAATCGGTTTTATAACGTTCCGAATAAACCGTTCCTCAGTTTTTTTCAAAGCTTCATATCTGCAATACTACTGCTTAATAGCTATCGCGAAGATTACCCGGTACTGTGACATTTTTCCTATTAATGTCTTAAATAAGCATAGTTCCTCACATTTGAAAAACAAGGATGTTTTCTTTCGTACGCGAGAAATTAAATCCCAGTGGGGAATTGGAAGTATAGAAAGTTCCTTTTAACATTATCAAAAAAGGAAGGTAGCATAGAGAATATTTGCAATCGGAGTAATCTACGTTTAATACGCTTTGATACAACTTATTTTATAGTGAAATACTTTCCACCGCTAGTAATCTGCGTTTTTTAGTACGCTTTGATACAAATTATTTTATGGTGGAATACTTTATGTTTGTGTATTATTATATTTACTAATTTCTTTCAAGAATTTTTCTGTTGGGAATGATTTGTACTGGCAGTTTGGGGACGGTTTTTAATTCGGTTTCATTTCCTTCCAGTTTTGTGTATATCGGCCTTTTCAGAAGAAAATGATTTCACTTAATTAGTCGTCATTTATGTTCAGTTTTCGTATTGTTGGAAAAAATAATGACATCAGGAGTGATTGTGGATTTCTTGATGCATCAACTATCAGCTATTGTTCTTGATAATTAGTAATAATTGCATCAGAAGACTTTGAAAACCTATTGATCCGCTGTTTTGTTTAAGGATGCGTCGTCTGTTTTCCAAAGCACACTTTGATAGATTTTCCAGCAAATAGAAATAGTATCTAACTTAACTCATGCTGTGAGTTGAGTTGCTAAGATTGTTCATTATATCGAACTCGCAGTTCACTGTCCCTTACTGACCGATGCGATTTGTAAGCTCCCATCAAAATTTTTGCTCCTTTTTTTATAAGTTTTTGTATATATGATTAGATAATTGTCATTTCGTAAACATATCGTTTTTCCGTACCAACATCCTAATAATGGTTGATGTTGTGAAGAGAATGTCTTCTAAATAATGGATCGAGAGTATGTTAAACGGAAGTGACACTGGATATAGAGCCATTCAGAATATCTTAGGTAAGGATTGTGTCCCTATCATGCAACAAACAGGCATCATTGGTTAACCTGATTGGAAATGCACCCTACTTCATTTCTAATCAGGGCTTTTATTATATTCATTGTGCTTGTTTACAAATGCAATAAAAAAGAAATAAAAGATAATCAGATGTTGCTAAGGAGTTAAGCTAAGTTTATTCTAATGATGACAATGGCGACAGCGATAAGCTTCATGTGATTTCCGATTCATACGGCAATGATTAATTCCCATAACTAGCTTCTGGATTAGGCAAAGTAAAAAGCCATCGCGCGAGGGGTCTCCGCCGCTGCATCTCGACATATTGCGCTGTATAGCTGTATCGTTTATAATGGATCTTAAAACGTACCCCCCGTAATGCAACATCATTGTCTCGGCATTAAGGAGGAATGCAATCGATTTTTTGCTTTCATTACGCTTATAAGAGTGGGATTGGGTTGGGGTGGTTTTGTTTTTCCATGGTTTGGGTCTCTTGGACTACTGTGGCCAAGCAGGAGATGCCATCAGGGTCATTTGTGGCCAGCTTAGTGCTACTGTCCCGTTTGGGAAGCTAAATATCACTGAGGGTGTGGTGATATCCTTCGAGGTACGCTGGTGTCATTCAGAATGCCATGATGTTGTAAAAACCTTAGTATCTCTTGATGTCCATAAGCAGTTAGTAGTGGCAAAATGTAGTGGTGTAGTGGTGCTAGAATATCTTATATAACGCATCACTTCAGATGATTTATTTAGTTATGTCACATTATCTTTGTTGGAATTGTGAAATCACAAACAAAAAGCAGATTACATGGAAGAAAGCGAAAGAATGGCGGGTTTGAAAATGCGAAAATTAGTGGGTAGATCTCAAAAGAATGAGGCGTTATTTGGTAATTCGTAAAGTGTGGTGCTGGGAATTGGTAGCGATAGTTAATAGTAAGGGAAAGTATCGATGACTGGTTTAGGTCGCGGAAAGCAGAACGGAAATAATAATTGGCTGCGAAACACTCGCTTTTAATGTTGGAGAGATGTTAGGAGCATATTATTCCTATCTGCCCCAAATATTCGTAGTTAATGTTTGGTCCTCAAGTTATTTACTGATTTTATGAGGTGTTATGAAGCTTATTGTTATGAAGTTGTTTTATAGTGAATGCTTAAGGCAGGGATGCGGAGATAGTAAAGAATAATTTGGTTGTCACTCACTCGTGAACTGTTTTGCCTTTTATTTGTTCTCGAAATTTCTCCAAGGAAAAAGGGAATTTCAGAGCAGCAAGTCTGTGTATTTTGGAGGTAAATATGACTGACTCTGTCAATGCAGAAAATAGTTACGAGCAGAGCCAGCAGGAGATAGAAAATGGCGAAGTGGAAATTGTGGATTCTGGTCAGGTAAGCAAGATTTCTATCGGATAACAAACTTCAGTTGATATGATCTTTGTTTGCATAAGTCAATACATCCCGTACTGAGGGAAATTGCATCTTATTAAACTTGAAGAAAACCAAAGTAGAATCCTTTTCTTAAATTTTACTTTCCAAAATTTATTAAAAATGGTCCATCTCTGGTTTTCTCGATGTCTAGAAGCAAAGCACTGATGCAAATTGGGTGAAGCTTCTGGTGATGAACAACATGGAGAATATGATGAAAAAACAAGGGAAACAAGGTTACTCTGAATACGGATTAACAAGCACGCAGAAAATTCGATTTTCGATTAACTGATGAATCACTCATTCGTCATTACTAGTCTGATAAATTTCGTAAATTCCATGAGATTTTCAGGTCATTGATGAACTGGATGAAGCATTGATGCAAATTGGTGATGCCACTGGCAGCGAACAACACGGAGAATATGATGAAAGGGTGCATGAGCAAGGAAAAAGTAATGCAATACCACAGGATGTCGGTCTACATATGGTAAATATTTTGCATTACTTTTTGGAGATTTTTCATTGTGAATGTATCCAGAAGGATTTATGCATCAAGATCTGACTCGATTTTACTGATATATTCTCTTGCAGAGCGTTAGTGAAGAAGTGATTGTCGAAACGGAAGAAAGCCATCCGACGATGTCTCCTACTCCGGGAAGTGATGTAGGCGATATGGAAGAATGCATAAATGATGAGGATGGTCTATATAGCGACGATGAAGACCACTCAGATATGTTTGCTGACCGAGAAGTTGACCAGGTTATCAGGGATCCGGTGACTGGAGAGGTCTGGTTTGTGATATCCGATCTGGTTTCGAGCTGCCCTATTCTACAGTTTTTTGCTCTCAAATTGAAGTTCATGAAATAGAGGAAGATATTAAAGGAAAACATTTCTCGAGAAAAAATCAATTTATTTGAATACGTTTGATAATATTACTGTCTTAGATAAGTTTAACAATGGATTTGGAAGATCTCGTATCTCGGACAATAACTTTTGATAACAGTGAAAGAATCATCTTATGTTTTTCAAAGCGATGTCGTCCACAAATAGCTTGGAATGGACATCTTTACGTTGCAGCGTCTGATGTTAGTTTTCAATAGCTGTGCATGTGATGTGAGGAAGATAGAGTAGAGAATTACTCTACTCGAACACTCTCGAACTACTTTGAAGATTTTGAAGATAACGCTTCAGATTTATTTATTATTAGACAAGAGCGCATGATGTGTTTGATAATCTTTGTTGATTCTTTTTTCTTATGGCTCCTTATCTCGAGAATGACTCACATTAAGTACATGATTCGGAGATTAATAATGGGGAAAATCTCCATTACTTTGAGACATGCTTTACGGTGTATTAAAATGTGGAGTGAGATTTTATATGCTGGGTTATAAGTTTGATGCTTGCTTCTAGTTGCCTGTTCAGGTCTTGATCGAACTGTATTTCATTTCTCGACCTTAAACCTAGCTATAAAAATAGTTCGTCTTAACTCTTGTATAAATAGTGTGGAACTAAATATAAACTTTCTTTCAGTTGAGCGAAGTCAGTTACACAAAATGGCGTTGTGTAAATGAAGGATGCCCTGGTGCTTTACGGACGTCTCCTGGATTGACCGAATTGCGTTCTTCTGGACATCACCATTTAACTACATGTAAACCGGATGACTTGCGAGTAAGCAGTTTTTGCTAAAATGCAGACCAAATTGGTCATCATAGGTTTTCTCCGTGTATATACACTTTAAATGAGTCGAAGTTCATGCAAACAATTCCGTTATTTAGGTACGTCTTCGCATTGTCATTTACGACCTACGTCTGATGGCCGAATTTACAGACGATCCATTAGAAGATCTTTACAGTCATTTTGGTACCATTTTTTAATATTTAGTGGTCCTAATTTCATCACTCCTTTAATATCATCTTTTGTCAATAATTAATATTACTTAAAATATTTCATATTAATAAAGTATTTTTTTCAGTTGAAAAGTTAGCTGTTGAAAATCCGGATGTGTTGGCCTTGTTTCCTCCTTTGGATACGCTAGTAAAAAGGTTGACAAGGCATCGAGAATACAAAGTTAGAAATTTCTTTCATTTATTATAAAATAGCTCTTATGATGTAGCATGATTATGTGTACAGTGTGTTGTCCGAATAATTATTGATTATCTCTGAGATATGATTTCAGTATGCTAAAAATGAGATGGCTTACATTTTCTTGGAATGGTGCGACAAATTTTTTTTTTATTCCTCTTTCAAATTTAAATTTTTTCCGAATATCAGTTGTAGAATTCTTATTAACCGTAAAATTCAGGTAATTTTGACAGGGGAGTAGCCTATTAAGGAGTCGTTCAAAAAACAGTTTTGATTCTGCGAACTTATGGGTTGTTCTGGTTAATTGATAAATATGTGTTTGTGACTTTTTTTTCAGTCCTTGGTGTTATTCATATCTAAATTCTAAGTTGTCTGCCGAAGGAGAAATTCATCTTTTCGAAAAAAAATGCATCTTTCCGTCATATTTTCCATTTTATTCATAGTTTAATCAGGATAATTGAAGCATAACTAACGATTTACATTTATCTGACCACATAAATAAGCGTCAACAACGAAACAAAATTTAAATAATATTCATCTTAGGTCAAATTCAGGAAAGTGAGGACGGACAGACGCTCCTTTAAGCACTTTTATTCTGTGCCCATTATTTAAAATTGTTTTCAAGGTATATCGTCGGCGATTTGAATATGAAAAAATAATGGCAGAGCGGCGTCGTGGGTTGCATTCTAAAGGTAATACTTTAATTTTTATTTCTTTTTTTATTTTCTTTTTTGTTGCTATCGGAATTTATCTAATTGGTTCCTGTAATGCTGATGCGTGACTATTATAGCGGAAATAATATTAGAGGTGGGATTCTTTAAATGATAAAAGTTCCAACTGGTTCGACATGTCGAGATTTTTGGGTTACATTCTTTTATGATTTGAGCATTTTACTTTATCGCTGTAAATTTATTAGATTCAGACTGCGCTCCTGCAATGCTTCGAAGAATGCGTCCGTTCCCACCGGTTGGTTTTTTGTCTTTGCATTTTTATTTTCTCATTTTTGCATGTTTACATTTCCGCATCCAATTTATATGTCTTCATACGGCGAAGTTGGTGTTTATTGTTGTTAAAACACGGTTAAAAATTTTTGAGAAGTTAATTTTCACTCCTCCAATTTGATAGCAAATTGCAATGTTCTATCTGTATATACAGAGTATCTGAAAACAAAGACATGCTAATTTTTTATTACACATTTAGTCTGTATGTATCGAATGCGGTATATCAATTGTAACTGATGCGGATACCACATCCCAGGAGAATTTTGTGGATCATGTGTCGCAGGATCATCAAAGAGAGGCGACGTGCCAGTATTATTCATTCCCGGGAGTACATCTTTTTGAGGTTTTGATTAGTCTGTCGTTAAATCAGGAAAAAAAAAGTAATTATTCAATATGAAAACAGAACTCCAGAAATCCCAATAAAGAAACGTTTCAGTTTAATCTGAATTGGCAAAAGGGGAAAGATGTTGGGGTAACCGGAGAGGATATTGAAATGTTGAAGTGGTTGAAGAAAGGACAAGTTCTATTGTTAGACACAAATTTCCACCAGCTTTGGAATGATGCCGTTTTGGATGAAAGAACAGTGAGTGGGGCAAAAATAGGAATACTTGTAGGTTATTGGGTTCACAATTACTAATACAGTTATCAGATTGCAGCAGTGGATGCGTGAACTGCAGCAGCGTAGCCGATACAAAATTCGACGTTTTTCAATGCACAATGAAAGCTTGTTTTTCCTTTGCGCTGCAGACGACCGCTGGTGTCGAACATATGGTGTTAACTCTGATGGTCTTCATTGTACTGCATTTGTTCGAGTTTACGATTACAGAGTAAGTGCATTTGAAAAGGGTCAGAAGGATAATTTTGTTTTGAGAATATGGTTTTATGTTTCATCGAAGTGCAGGAAATAGAAGTATTTCTTGGGAAAAAATTTCTCTAGTTTTCTATAAAGTCCTCTATAAAACTGGAGGTAGAAAAAATTTTCGCTGCTTTTTGCCGGATAGAAATTGAAACTGAGGCCATAGTAATATTACTGTTTACAAAGCGGGTCGTAATGGGCTCTTGACTTCGATTCAATGAACAGTAATTCGGCTTGAAATAATAGACTGAATTGGTTTTGTGTATTAATGCAAAGTAATTTTGGACTATCGAAATTCTTCGTTGTAACTGTAACATGAGAGATAGATCACCCAGTAAAATAGCTATCATCACAGAAACAAGTTCCCTGTAAAGCATTTGCAATTAAAGTTCTTAAAGGTAATATGGATGACGTGAATTAGTTGCCAGGTCTTATTATCACTGTCGCTAACGCTGCAGGCGTTTAATTTTCCCACTTATCTTTGCAATAAAAAATAACTGGTAACTTGATATGGGAAGAAGAAATAAAAGATAATTTTTTTCAGAGAGTTTCGCGCCAAGAAACTCGGGTTTTGCGAATACAGTACTGCTTGGATCATAATTTCCATAGCGGTGAGTGATTTCGGTTTCTGTGTAATTTTTCAGAGATGGATAGTAATTCCAGTTGTGTTGATATTAAGGGCAAATTAAGCCAAGCTTTTGCAGATGAGGATGCAACAGTCGATGCGCCATTCACTCCCGAAATTTTCATGCATGAAGTGGAGGAGAGACGTTTACGAACCGCTGGCATGGTTAAAAGTCATGCACAACGTGCGCGACTTTTGAGACGAAGAGGTGAAATAGGAAGTGAAATCATGTCAGGTTGGCTCTAACCGTTGAATTTTCCTTTCATTTTTACTGATTGCAATAGTATGTTGGTTGTTATGTGATTATTGAAAAACCAATCCAGTTCCCATCTGCTACAAACTCGAGTCTTTGATGGTCTTACTGCAGATATTATTTGAGTATAACCTATAGAATTTATCATCATGTAGAGTAGTTATGTCATTCAAATAGCGTATCTCGAACTAATTGCTAGATTGAATATTCGAATGATCAATTCATATATGCTTTTAATAAAGCAACTTATAACATATTATAACAAAGATCAGAAAGAGTCAACTATAGTTGTATTGTTCAACATTTTAAATGATGAATGTTATTATTTATAAACCACTGTAATGTCTCTTTCGCATCGACAGTGACAAATAAATTACACAGTAGAAGCTACTTTCAAAAATAATGCAACTTGAACTACGAAAATAATTAATAATGGCATCTGTCTTTTAATAAACGTAGTTTGAAGTTCTCAGCATTGTATTTTCTGATTTTCTGGGAATATCAGGGCTGAATTTTAACGCTCATAATGAAGGATATTTTGTGCCATTAAGTAAAAATGGGATTCCTGTATTTTGACCATTCATAAGTAAATTGAAGTACGAATTTCAGAGAATGGCGGTGTGTGGTCTGAAGAGGGAATCAGAGAAGATGACCAAAATTTGCAGTGAGCGCAGTTTTTCGTGTATTTACCTTTCATGTACATTTGTTTTTCATTCCCCACATTCAATATCATTTTGCTAAAACAACGAAAAATTCTTTGTTTTTAGAGAATTAGACGCCTATGCATCTGATGTCGCCAAACGCACATCTCATGTACGGAATGATGATTCTGCGTCAGTAGTCGAATTTGCTGAAGGACCGGATACTGAACACGACGGTTAGCGTCACTTTCTCGGTGTCTTTTTAACGGAAATGCTGCTTTTATATGCACCACATGTATTCTTCGAAGATATAAAAGAAGGAAGTTGAAAGATTCGAATTAAGAGTCATATGCGCACGCCGTTATTTCGGGAAAGCTTACTGCAACCATGCAAGTGCTCAACTAATGGTTTAAGTCGAGAAGCATCATTTAAAAAATAGCTGCATTTCTCGTTTTTAAGGACAGGAAGATGTAGTTGGTGGTGAAGGCGAACGAAATGTTGATTATGCTATCGAGGGTAGTGAGGAGGGTATTGGACAGGAGGAGCAAGTGGGGGAAAATGCTGCATCGAAACTGAAGCGAGTAAACTTGCAAAGACCGAGATTTATAGGAAGGTAAACTAAATAGTATATAGTAGGAAAATAGTAGGAAAATTTTTATGTGGGAACAAGCATTAATGAAGTTTATTAAGATGTAACTGGAAAGGCGGATGAGGAGTAATGCTTCGTCCTAGATGTATTTTGTAGAGATATTAACATTTTAATAATATTGTATAATGTTAACATATTAATAATATTTTATATTCTTTCGACGTTAGAAATGAAAATTTTTTTTTTTTCCGATATGCACAACAAAATATTAGTCCTCACTTCACATATGGTAGAAATATCAAATCAGAGTACGACGAGAAGCGAGAGGTAAGCGGTTAATGTGAATGTTTAATAGCAAACATTATTGATTCCTTAAAAATCTCACACTCTTTAAGTGTACGAATCATTGATGAAAAAATGCAGTCTTACATTTCGTAGCTTTCTTTCAGTTTTAGCACAGAAAAGCTTTAAAATACAGTATAAGCATGAGTAGTACTGCAAGTTACAAAGTATGACAATATTTACAGAAGGTTTGTTGTGGGATGATGATGCAACTGGGTGTTCCCTATAATTTCGATTCCATAAATTTAAATTTTGTAACATTGCTAACTATATGGGTACATGGTTGTGTTAATAGTATCTCTATATCTCTGTGCACAACAGTGTAACAGCTTATTGTACAAAGTCACATGTTTGATGACGGCTACTAATTTTAAGATATTATGGGATTAGGTTCTTTTAGGTGGCAAATTTGGTTGAACAGTGCAATCGTCGAGTTAGTGAAAGCCGTTCAATACGTTCTATTGAAAGCAGAGAAATTCAAAGTGGTAGTGGACCGGGCCAACCACATTATGTTACTCATCGATCAAATTTTTCCAGCTATACACTTTATAATTTGGTCATGCAAATTGAATTGCAGTGCGAGGTTTGTATTGTATTGAGTGGTTTTTTAGCACAAAACGACTTTCTTTTTAGAAATTTCTGAAGTGATAGTACAGTCTAATGATACTGTCCATAATGTAAGGTACGAATCCCGTTGGAGATACTGAACGTTAAAGTGCGCTTACATCAGTATCAGTAGATAAAATTACTCTGATTAGCCAGACAATCCTAAAAAAAGCTTATGCATCTTATTAATTAAACTGGTACGGTTTTTGCAACTGGTTTTTGCAGCTTTTCAAAGAACGAGCTCAGTCTTTGAAACATATTATGGCGGCGAAAAAATATCTCAAATACCTCACATCTCTCTGTGATAGCATTGCTACTGATCCAGACTGCAATAAATCTGTAGAAGAATTGGCAGCTGAAATTTTTGATTTGAAAGAAATTGTAAACAGTGGAATAGTAGTCACCAAGCAATCGGGTTTGCTTCCAACATTAAGTTTTGGAAGCGGCGATGAAGGTAGTAATTCAGTACAACAGCGTGATGGAAGAAGTGAATCGGAAACGCAGCCGCTTATCTTTCTTCCAGTAGTACCTGCAAGGAGCACACCGGAAGAATTAGGTTGGAATTTCTCTGGATTTTTTTCGAAGCGATTTCTCTGCGGCTTTTTGCTGGATAGTTGTTGAGTAGTTTTGTAGCTTTTATAATTTTAACTATTCTATTTACATATTTCGGTGCATATTATGATATGTATGTTTTTTTTCTTAGTCATACCTAGTCTACAAAAATGTCTATCACCATTTGATGAAAAATTCGTAATTTTGTGTTCTGTTTTCTTTTTGAATTTTCATACGTGTTTTCTTTTTCTTTTTTTTAGGAAGCATTCTTTTGCATTCACTAGTAAGTTCTTTAGCAAGACGCGAAATAATGAAAGAGAAGTGAGTCTATTATGGATCAGTTGTTTTATTCCCTATTGTTGAGGTACATGAATTTTCGCTTAATTTTCAGAAAAAATGACAGTTGATGAGGAAGCAGAAATGGATGTTACAGAACAGTCTGAAACACCAGTAAGTTTTCTGTTTCATTGAACTTCGGATTAGAATTAAGGATATAATTAGTTCGAGTGGATTTCTAACTTTCAAAATCTTTTTTTGTCAGGATGCACAACCAAATTTAAGAAGATCAAAACGTGGAAAAGGGAAGGAGGAAGTTGAAATACCTTTTGAAGTGAAGAAAGGTAGAAAAGGTCCGTTGATTGCACTTCCAAAAGCAGAAACATCTGTAAGGTAATAGCTTAGAAAAAATTTAAATGCTCATTTTCTTAATAGCATAGGTTTTTTTATTCTGGAAACTAGAGATTTTCAAAATAATGTGTTTATAACACTTAATTTCATGATGCTGCTTCAATTTTTGCTTATGTTGATATAGCTCAATGTGTTTACATATTAGTTGTGTTGGATCTTTGTGCATGTTGGTTATAAGATTTTGAATAGAACTGAAACGCTTTAAGGGGAAAGTAGACATTGATTCACTATTTGGATTGAGAAAAAGAAAGAAGAAACTAATTGCATTTTCAAATGGAGTATCCATTTCTGGACTTCATTTTAGCATCACTTCCACTGCTGTGGAGGAAGTAAGTAACTAGACCTGACCTAAACAAATAGCTCATAAGTAGATATAATTATTTGAAATTATCCTTTTTTTTTCGTTTAAGGCATCTGCCTGATGCATTCGTTTCTTCCAACTCTTCATCATGTTATTTCTCCGGTTAAGTTAGAGACAGAAAGTGAAACGTATGGAACTTATAGTTCTAAACATCATTAATCCAACTCTTCATTATAGTGAGCTGTTGGTAATGTAGTAGCTATACACAGACGAAAGTATGGGATATTTTTTCGAAATAATCTTGAGAAGAACTTGCTAAAAATTGTCTTATAAAACATTTATTCAGGGAGCCATATCAAACAAGAAGAAGTCGTGGTGTCGTGAAGCCGAACACCAAGGGAGTTTTTGACAAGACGACATATGTTGGAGGAACGGAGGTATCCTTAATTGATTTTTAAGGAAACTGTGGAGTTCTATGTGGTACCACAAAAGGAAAATAATTTTTCGTTGCAGAATTTCGTATCTTAGGGTTCAAGATTATAGGGATACTGTAGAATCAAGCATTAGCAGAGTTCCGACAGACTATTATAATATATTGCTTGGGCTTCCCAGAATTGTAGAAAGAATTGGTTTTTCATGATGTGTAAGTAAGGTCATGACCAATAAAGTTAAGCTTTTAGTGGAAGAAGGACAGAAATCTGAGCATCACTTTTAATTTTGAAAAGTCAACGGCAAAATTATTACTCAGTTTCATATGACTGTTCTTCAAAAGTCTTAAAATTTTCAGGCAACTTCAGCAGAAGGAGATGGTAAGCATTCAGCCAATATTTAAACGAATTCGCTTTCTATTCATTGTCCTTACATTATAATTATCGAGTTCCTTATAATCGTCATCATACTTCTGTAATTTGTAATCAGTGTTTTCTTGTAGAATCAATGAAATCTCCAGAATCTCGAGGAGCTTACACATTGAGTAAGTGGTTTAAATTTATACAAGATGGGTGTTAAAGGTCGCATATATAAAATAGGCTTTGAAATGCAACATTTGGTCGAATATCACTAATACGACGATCTGACACTGTTTTAGACTCTTGTGATGGCGCTGGGACAGATGATTCCAGTTTAATGTCGGAATTTTTATCATTGACTGAGTTTCAGGACGTTGTAGTAGAAAGTGTTCTACCAGCCTATAAATACAGTTTTTTTTTCTTTTTTCGGTTTATCTATACTTTCTGGAATAGAGAACAAGTCTGCATCTTGACAGGGAATCAAAATGGATTCCAATACTACCAATATATAATGAGGAATGTACTAAACAGTAATAAAAATCTCTTTTCTACAAATTTTTTTATCTTTAAGGGCGAATACCATTCAGTGGACAAAACTCAAAGTTGAAACTGGCTGGACGTACCATGCAGCTTGATGCCGAATCGGAAGAACTGACTGGAAAGCCGATGACTTTAAGAACTGCAGCCGGAAATTTGGTTAGCTTGATTTGTTAGCCACTGAATTATTTTCAGGGATTTTAGGAAAAATGTCTAAAAGGGATTGGTTTTTATTATATATTATATTTTTATTATATTATATTTTTATTATATATATATTTTTATTATACAGCGAACAAAATCAGGGCTTTTTAATTGTCTGTGTTTAAATATGTTGAATATCATCAAAATCCCAAAACGTTGAAAGCATTTTTTATCTGAAAGCAATGTCCATATGAATGTGCTGAATTCAGGAATATCGAAAGCTTTCTATTTAGTATACAAAATACAAATTAACAGTGAGTAAGGAAATGTTTTTTACATGCATTGTTTAGGTCACAGTGATGCGGCGGTTTGATGGCCGTTTGATTATGGTTTCACCTCGAGAACTGGTTCAGAAAGGTAATATTTGCTTTCATGTTATTCGGTTTCTTACTTAACCATAGAATAAGTGTCCAAGCATGCTAAAGCACTGAGTGTCAGTGATGCTTTGAGGTTCTTTGTAGAAAGCAAGCGCACTGCAATAGTTTGGAGAGTTTTTCTTAACTGGTAAATCAAATATATTAATGTGAGAACTCTCTCGTAAAAGAGATTTGTCTATTGATGCCTGATAAATATTGTTATTTTTACTGTTAAACATATACTTATCCGATCCTAAATTTCCTGTGAATTAATCCCTTTAGTGGATGGAGTTGGATGATCTCTTTATAAAACGAATTTTTATAGCTTTTCTTTGCTCATTTAACCTTTTCTGCGAATTCCTGTTTTCTAGAATCGAAAACTTCGGCCACTGAAGAAACTCAGAGGGAAACGAGGTCGAGAAGCACACGGAATGCAACACTTGGCAAAAAGGCACCAAAGTCAGAGCAAATAAAAGAAGACGAAGAAGAAGAAGAAGAAGAAGGAAAGGAAACAAAATCGCAAAGAACAACAAGATCCTCAGAAAGACGTTCAGTCTACTCAAAATATTTGAAGAAAGATAAAGATCGACGTGGTAATTGTTGAAATTTATCTTTTATAAATTTTACTCGTAAAAATTATTGTGATGAATTACTGCAAAATAGGAATGATATGCGGTAGCTAATAACATATTTTCTTTTATTTTGATATTTCAAATTTGCAATTCTTACATAATTATGTCAATGTTTCAAACTTGTAATTCTTACGTTATGGTGTTAATATTTCAGATTTATAACTCTTACTTAATGGCCTTATTTCAGATGAAAAGAGCGCCAATGCAGGTTTATCAGAAAAAGGAAAAGGAAAGGATATGGGTAGTGAAAAAACAAATTCGGAAGAAGCGGAATCTAGCAAACAGGAAATTACGCATGAAGTAGAGAGTAATTCGAAAAAGTTTGTATTTATGAATGCTGCCGAACCTATATTCTTTAGAAAGGATTTGTTGATATCGTCTCTTTATGGTTACATATAAGTCTTCCGAAATGAGCTCTCGACAGTAGTCACTTGCACTTTTTCATTAATCTGCTGGTAATTTTCAAAACCTGATGTATAACATTCAGCACAAAGCGAATGCTGACTTTCTCAAAATTTAATGGTAGTTGTACGGCGGTACAGTTTACAGGCACCGAGTAAATAATTGTTCTTGATATTATCCAGAGTTTTCTTCTTGGTGGACATGTTTAAATTGATTTCAGATTTGTAAGAAAGCAGTTAAGCGAAAATGATGTAATCGTTATGGACGATGAGACATTTTCAGCTGTTGTAAAAGATATAAGCATGGGAAGTCCACCTGACTATGGTGAGTATCTTTTCCGCAAATGCCTGCTTATTTGTGCTTTCATTTGATCTTTTTTTCTGAATACCATAATATCATTTAAATGTTGTATGCAGGATAACGGAGAACTTGAACTGGAATTAATATTTGAATTTAGATTGTTAGTATTGACAATAAACAAAATTTCGAAAGTGCACTTATTAAAGGAAGACATGGAATGACACATAGTAGAAAAAGTGTACTGTTACACTTTGATCCAAATTCGGTAGTTCACTCTTTTCATTTATTGTTGTACTTTGACTTGATAGATATCTGTCGAGGGATCAAGGAAAGATTTTCATAATTGCGTCACATTTCTCGAAAATTTGTGTTTAGGATTAAAACAATAGTCATTTTTGGTCAATCCTGAAACTGTAATGGATAAATGTCTCTTCTTTCCAAATTCCTTTTCGCGCTATTTTACTTTGTTACTAAATTGTATGGTCAATAGCCAATTATTTATAGTTGGTGGAAGTGAAAGCCGACGAAGTAAAGTAAAGAAAAAGGATGAAGAAGAGGCAACAGGATCGACTGTTGACGCTTCCAGAGCAAGTAAACCAGGGGAGAGTAAAAAATAAATCAGTAGTTTTGCATGTTTGAAATTGTATCCTAACATTAAATGACAATCCTACGTTCTTATTTTGGTTTATCACAATGTACCGGCTCTCGTTTTATCGTAATATTTTGAATTTTGTTTCATGTTATTTGCAATGATTTTTTAACTTCTATATTAACGACCGAGATTCGAAAAGTAAAGTGAGAGGGTCCATAGCAGATGGGGCTCATCTTTCAATAGTTTTGGTAGTTTCAGTTGTTGGGGCTCATTCTAAATTTTAATTAGTCCATAGAAAATGTCACTGCTTCCCCCTCTTTATTTGCATGTTGTAAAAAATTATTTTACTTGCACTTCACTTTTGTTTCACTCTGTCTGATTATGATTGAATGGATTAAAGTGAATAATTTTAAAAGTACCTTGGGAAACATCATTACATCAGTTTATAGCATTGTAAACATTGAATAATAATTCGCCAATCTCCGCAACTGAACGAGAGTATATGATTCTCTTGAAGTTTTGCTTCTTTTTTGAGTTTTTCACACTTGGTCCCACGGAAACTTTGGAGATTTACAAGGATTCCTACCGTTCATAGTTTGCCATTTGAAAATGAATTGTTTTGAGAAAAAAGCCACTTCTGTGGTTGACTTATCCTCTTACTGCTGGCATCTATTCGTAGGTATGCTTTTCTTATGATGAAATATTTTTATTGTCCTGCGCGGTTTGCATCTTTAACTTTTTTTTTGCCACGAGGAACGAAGTTTTCCATTACAGTCTGAGAGAAGTATATGTCCCCCCTTTTTAAAAGTGGAACCTTTTTATGTCCGAGATAATTATCCAGTTGACAGGCTGACAATGATTACCATACATAAGGTTCGATGTGCGTCATGTGCAAAGTTATTTTCTCATATATCTGTGTTCTCTAGGTTTTTTGTAATCGTTGTAAATGATATAATTTCATCCCAACCGTTGTATATGAAGTTGTAAATTCAAGAATAAACATGGAAGGATGCAACTGATTTTGATGGTGGTTTGTCCCAATTCCATTTTTACCTAGATTACTCGTTGGTTTAGTTTGATAGTAAAGTTCTTATATCCAGGTTGGCATTTCCTGACATGGGACTGTTTCGCTTAATGAACGATTAAATTGATTGAGATCTCAGTCATTTGAATTTTATTCGTTTCCTTGAAATGAATATATAGTATTGCTATCAAAACAATGGCACATATGCACCATTCGTTGACAATATTAAGAATGAGGAGGGAAACAGAAAGAGGATCATAAATGTTATCTGTCCTGCCTGAAGAAGGCAATAATGCATAAATGCGTAACGTCCTTTTTTTCATCTAACAATATACGATTTGTTCTGCATCACTTTCTGAACTTGTTTCACAAACCGCAGATGGTATCGATAACGGAGTCTGGAATTAGGCATTTTGGAAATACATATCTGTCTTGGAAGTTCATTGGTAAAGGTCTGTGTTTAAATACGATGTGCAAATATGCTCTCCCACGAAATGTGACCTGGATATCTCACGTCATGCGGAAAATATAAAGGCTGCAAAACATAACTAAATATGACCGGAAGGGTATCTTCATAAGTCATTTAGATATCAGCTCAAATAATTCTTAGTTGGACTGAGATTGAAATATTGATCATTAAGACAAGCAGATATGCAAATTAATGAATGACTAGTGCACATATTAGAAAGATGGAAGTTGGATTCGCCAAGAATGTTTTTAAAAATCTAGTAGCTCATTTTAAGTTAATAAATCTTTTCTTCACGCCGATAAATTATTCCGACCGGCTAAAAGATGATGGAACTGGAAGTGTTGTTTCACCTCCACTCTAAATGTTTGACGTTCCGGAAAGTGAGAGGAAGTTAATCTTAGAAATCCTTTTGTTGATAAGTATTTGAACTTACACTTGCTGTCCTGCGGTGTGTTCGAATTGTATTTTTAACAGCGCGAACTTGTCGTTCTTTATCTGAAAGACCGTCAGAATGTATGGCAGCCATTTCTAAACTTCGTTCCAATGATGATTCCATTGTTGAAGAGGAAGTAATTAGCAGACAGCTTGACCTGAAATAAATAAAATGGGTGGTTCACAACTGTACGCATAATTATTATTTGAAACCGACTGAACTAATGTTGAGGACAGGACAAACTGAAACACCCTATTGTTCTAGTTTGCCGGTGTTCGTTTCTTTGAACTAACCAATACTGTTTTCCGGATGTGGTTAGGAATAAGAAGTGGAAGAGTGCAGATTCTGGACATAGATTCTCAGGATTTTTCAGCTGCTCATTTTAGTGAATTTTCTTGTTTGTAGTGCTGATGAAGTCATGTATGAAACTATTCAACCTGCATGTTGTAAGGCAGACACTTCATGAAAGAGAATCAGAATGTTGTAAGGCAGACACTTCATGAAAGAGAATCAGAATGCCATTAACAAGCCAATTCACTCAAGTCAACTTGATTTTTTTAAAGCAGTTAGTTAACCTTTCACTATCATTTGTGCTCTGTGGATTTCTAAATCTCCGGAAAACGATATAAGAAGCACTTGGAGAATCGAGCGATGAATCCAAAATATTCCTAAAAATGACTAGTATTCGTTTTAGCTCATTCTATGAATTATATTTTAATTAAA